CCCCTACACCCTAAACCCTTATAGTAGCCCTTATAGAACCCGCTAAGGAACCCTTTAAAGGAACCCCCAAAACCCTATTCTAATTCTTAACGCCCCAAAACCCTATTCTAATCATTGATGGGCCCCAAAACCCTATTCCAATTATTGATGGGCCCCAAAACTCTTTTCTAATTCTTAAGGCCCCTACATTAAACCCCAAACCCAAAGAGGATGTTCCAGCTGCAGGTTTCCAGACGGGTCCGAGGTAGACCTTGAGCCCAACCTTACTTGGAGGTTCATGGGTACCTTTGTAGTTATAAGTAGGGTTGCTTTTCAAGGCTTCTATAGGGTTTAGGGTTTAGGGGTAGTTATAAGTGAGGTTATACGTAGGGTAACTGATACTTATAACCCATATTGGGGGGCTTAAAACCCCATTTATAACTACCCATGAACCTCCAAGTATATTAAGCTAACGGAGCCTACTGTTTGACGAGTTCTTTATCAGAAAATCCTACTATAGAGAATTTATAGGGACACTACTAGAAGGAAGGTTTCGGTAGTTCAAAGATTCAAGGAAGACCACAGCAAGCCATACGGGTGTTTAGCGACGGGGGTTCGAGCAGGGACTAAGTTATCCATGATAGGAAAGATTGGAATCCCAAATCCTAAAGCCAAGTGGCAACACTGCAAACGTTTCAAAGCCCCAAACCGAAACCCCCCAAAACTCCCAAACCCTAAATCCAAAAAAAAACGAAGCCCGACAACCTCAAAGCCCTTAGCCGTTTGGGCCTCTTCTTTGGGGTTTTAGGGTTCAGGGCTTAGGGCTTCCATCACAGATCAATTTGCTGCAGGCAAGGTGCACGACGGGCGCGCTGCCTACGTCGTTTCCCCGTGCGAGGTCGTCAATTTCATTTGCGAGCCTTTGATGCATTGCTAGGCATTTTAGGGCTCTCAAGAAGGAACAAATTTTCAAACTGAAACCAGTAGAGATTACAGCTACTGGGTTTCATTGGCGAGACTTCGAAGCGGATTGTTGTGCTGTTGTTGAGATGTTAGATGCATGCTTTAGGGCTGTTCGGGCTCAGGGTTAAAATTCCTAAGCCTGGTAGCTCTAAGCCCTTCAATGAGTGCAAAACAGAAACTAAAGCATAGGCCTCAAATGCCAAAACCATACGTCATACCGCCTCATAAAATCTGCGCCCAGGTCCAACACCCCTAAAACTACGCAACCAAATCCCCAATTCAAGGGCAGGCCTACCTTCGGATCCAATGATAGGGTTTAGGGTTTAGGGTTTTATGCCCGATACTGTACTCAATCGTTAGGGAGCTATGGGGTATTATGAGGTCACAGACAATCTACCGTCCACTGTTGCGCAGGGCTTGTCGCGACAAGTGATTCCCAAACGCCAATAAGGCATCAAACTTATGCTGTCGGTGGACCAGAGTGGGCCTTAAACCCCTTCCTGCAAAAGCAAATTGAAGCCTTCTTTAACTTATATTAACGAGAGCAATATTTAGAAACCATAGAAGGGAGCCCGAACAAGCAGCTTTTTTCCTAGGGACAAGAGAGGCGCTGCATGTATTTGGAAGCACGGTGTTGACCTTGCTTCTAGGTTGGACATGTGGGGGTTTCCGAAAATAGGGGACCCTAATAGAGTGCCCTAAATAGTAGGATGCTTATTATAAGCACCCCAAAATAAGGTACTCCAATTTCGGAAACTCCCATGTGCTGCAATGCACTTAGGCCCTTGACATCAAGGCCCACCTTGAACTCCCAAACCCTTTAGGCTTTAGGGTTTAGGGACCGGCGTGCTCTTTGTAGAGAGAGCTGCTTGCTTTTGGTGTTTGGGGTTCTGGGTTTTGGTTTTTGGGTACCGCGTCATGCCTTCCAAGTCTAAGCCCTAAATTCTAACCCTAAACCCTAAACCCTAGACCCTAAACCCTGAACCCTAACCGAAACCCCGAGGTGCATGACAACGAAACGCTGTACGACAACACCGTCTGGAAGCTGCCGACTGCCATTGCCTCGCCTGCAGACTTCCGATTGCAAACTACTCTAAAATTCGAAAAGACTCCCCTTAAGGGGGTGTAGGGCTTAGGGTATTTGGGGTTATGGTCTTGTTTTATGATTATGCTATGATTTACCCGAAACATGAAGGCCCACCATTTCTGCCTTTGTCCGAGCCCTTTCTTCCCGGCACCATGAGCGCCAGTCCGCTTCGTGCGTGTGAGACCATAAGCCCAGCATCAGGTCCTCAAGCCAGTGGGGTTTAGGGTTTAGGGTTTAGGGTTTAGGGGTTCGGGTCAAATATAGAAGCCTAATGATTACCACAATTATTTTGGGGGTTCCTTATTATGGTTATTGTCTAATATACCCCAAAACCCTATTCTACCTGTTAAGGCCCCTGTATTAGGGTCTTCGGGTCTCAGGGTCTCGGGTTCAGGTCTACCGTACAGGGTGTCGAGTTTGGGCGAAGGGGTCGATCCCCTGATCTCAAGTGTGATAAGCCCGCTATTCTAGCGATCTGAACAAGTAGTCATAGTGTTCCTATATGGTCCTTATATATATATATATATATGTCCTTATATATATATATATATGTATATACCGATAGCTACCCGAAAACGCTGTTCTAATTACTAAGGCCCTTTTGTTGTGTTGGAGTCAGGGATGTTATCACCAGGGTGTGGAGTTTAGGAATTCGGCTGTTAGGTCCATGCGAGTGATACCGTAAGATGTGCTGCTTTGCTACTAGATCGGGTAGGCTCTGGCCTACGGTCGCACAGTCCTGGCCATATGGGGGTTCAGAAACTTGCAGGAAGGCTGATTGCGGGGTCCCGATAACAAGGATCCGGCGACTTAGGTTCGGGTGGATGTACCCCTAAAACCCTAAACTCTAAACGCGTGAGAGAGCTGGTAATTCCAGAATCCCATGTTGCTGAACCCCTGACTTGGGCAGAGGAATACCACAATTTTAAGAGCCTGAAGCCTGAAGGCCGTACGGTTTCGTTGATAAAGGACGGTTTAGGGTGTAGGGTGTAGGGTTTAGGGTTTAGGGACACACCTAAAATATGTGGTAAGGCTCATGTTGCTGCAAACTTGCTGCCCCGCTCATCTTCGATTCAACGCTAAACGCCTATAACCTAAAACTGTGAACGCAAAACCAGAGACCCTAAAAACCACAAAGGACCCTGAAACCTTACCGAGCGAGGCCCTAAACTCACAACAACCTCAGCAGTACCCTAAACCCTAAACCGCAAGCCCCAAGCATTAAGCCCTATGACCTAAACCCTAAACCCTACACAAGCCGTTACTAAGCCCCATAGAAAGCTCCTAAACCCTAAACCCTAAATCCTAAATCCCAAATTCCCTAAACTGTAGTATCTCAGGAGCGGATGCGCTCCAACTGACTCTGCACGGCTTTCCTAGCCCTGGGCCACGGAGTCCCGCTCTTTCATGCAGGCAGGGGTGTGGGGGTTAGGGCTTAGGGTTTAGAGGGTTTAGGGGTTCAGGGGTTTTAGGGTTTAGGGCTTCGGGGTTTTAGGGTTTAGGGGGTTTAGGGTTTAGGGTTTGGGGGTTACTTGGAGGCCCAGGGGACTTAGTAAGTGGGCTATACGTAGAGTTATAAGTACCCTAACTGGAGTTACCCCAATTAGAACCCTACTTATAACCGACTTACTAAGTCGCCTGGGCCTCCAAGTAGCGCTTCTGTGGCTTTCGGTTTTTTGGGGTTTCGGGGTTTCTGGGGTTAAGGGTTTCGTGGGATGTAGGATTCTGATTTTGGGATTTTTGAGGTTTTAGGATTCAGGTTATTTTCGGTCTTTTGGATGCAAGGCGGTCTTGATCGGGGTGTTAGGTCTCAGGGTTTAGGGTGGTCTAGTATCTGGGCCAAAGAACTATCCCTTTACACCCACAGCCTTGGATCCTAGATTCTAAACCCTACATCCCAAATCCTTATGACGCCTGCAAACTTGAAAAACCTAGAATCTGCATCCCTACCAACCTACGGTTGTAAGGGCTTTAAGAAAATCATAATAAGGAACCCTAAAAAGGTAGGTTTTTCCCCAACCCGAAACCCACAGGCCGCAGTGCAAAGGTCTGCGCCCGAAGCCCCAACAGCTCGCAACCCGAAGCAGCACAGCTCTAATAAAGGGGCTTTAATAGTGTACCTATACTATTTTGGGGGTTCCTTCTTGTATTTAGAGTATAATATACCCCACAACCCTATTCTAGTTATTAAGGCTTCTACATTAATCTCATGGGTTTTGGTTGAGGGTTTCGGGGTTTAGGGCTTCGGGTTGTTGGTGGTTCAGGGGTCTTCGTGTCCGGGTTTCCGGGCTCTAGACTGTTTGGGGGGGCTTATAGGGTTTGGTAGTTTGTGGCGTACGGTTTGGGGGTTTGAGTGGTTGCAGTCTATCCATGGCTTAGGGTTTAGGGCTTGGGGGTTTCGCAGTTTGAATGTTTTGAAACCCTAAACCCTAAACCCCTAAGCCCTAAACCCCTAAACCCTAAACCCTACCCTAAACCCCTAAACCCCAAAACCGTTTTTGGGTGCAAAGCCTTCAGGTCGCATATCCCATGCACAAAGTGCTTTCAGCTTACCGATTTGGTGTTCAGAGCTAACCCGAACGCAGTAAGAGCCAACGTACATAACATCTGAGCTCGATAGGTATATTGCCATGTGGCACCATCCCTAGAAGCCCTAAAACCCTAATGTATTATGCAGGGAACGCTGGCTCCTGGGGTACTTGGAGGTTCATGGGTAGTTATAAGTTATAAGTCCTCTAATATGGGTTATAAGTATAGTCACCCCACTTATAACCTCACTTGTAACTACCCAAGAACCTTCAAGTATTAAATCTAAATGTGAAGGGATGTCTAAGGGTATCCCAGTAGCTACACATCTGTAAAAACGGATCTACCCCTAAGCCCTAACCTCTGATCCGTCACAGAACCCGGATAGAGTACTTTAAGGAACATTTGTTGGGGAAATCTCTACAGAATCCCTATATTCTTCCCGACCTCTTTGCAGAAGCCTTTGCAGAACCCCCTGATGAAATTTGGACCCTTCAGCCCCGTGAAGGAGGGCTTTTGGGGCTTCTGGCACGCCCAAGAACTGGGTTCTTTACGGTAACAAGGAAGCTATGTTGTTTACCACAGATCCCTAGTATGGTAGCTTGAAAACCCTAAACCCTGAACCCTAAACCCAAACCCCAAACCCTTGGTAGCTTGAAAACCCTAAACCCTAAACCCGAAAGGAGTCCCTAGCACGAACCCAGTGGTACCTAGACCCTAAACACTAAATGAGTTCCTCTGCACTACCCCAAGGAGCCCTTTAAAGGAACCCTTATAGATCCCGTAGAGGAACCCTTTAAAGGAACCCTTATAGATCCCTTAGAGGAGCCCTATGGGGATTTAGGAAGTAGGTTATGAGTAGAGTTCCAAGTACCCTAACTGGAGCTACCCCAATTAGAACCCTACTTATAACCGACTTACTAAGTTCCCTGGGCCTCCAAGTAACCCGGAAGAAGGAGACGAGCTCCTCCGATCGAAGTCCTTGGATCGGGACAGCTACAACAGCGGTGATTGGCACCTCGCAAGCTCAAAGGGGTTTAGGATTCAGGGTTTAGGAGGCAGGGCTTAAGGGTGTAGAAAAACGTGCCTAATGTAGGGGCCTCAAAAGTTACCTATACTCTTTTGGGGTTCCTTGTTATAATTATAGTATAATGGACCCCAAAACCCTATTCTGATTATTCAGGCCCTTATATTACTACAAAAGCTGAATGATTCTGGAACGGCTTTTTTCTAGGTGATACGGTTGATGACATAAATCCTGCAGTACCCATAACAAGGAAGATACCATAATTCCCATAGTTCGAGGTCCTTAAGGTAATGCAGGTTTTATATCATCAACCGTATGAGGGTTCCTGTCGGGCTTGCAGCTCAAGGGTTTGCGAGGTTTTCGGGCTTAGGGCTTGCAGGTTTAGGATCTAGGGTTTAGGGTTTAGGATCTAGGGTTTAGGGTTTAGGGGTTTAGGGTTTAGGATCTAGGGCTGGCACCCTGCCACCTCACGTCTGTGATCTCCTTGGAACTTTGATTTTTGCTGCGCGCCAAGGGAGGTTTTGAAAGGTAGTCTATTCCTTATGGATCCAAGGCACCCTCTAGACATGGAGTTTAGGAATTAAGGGTAATAGTTACGAAGCACTTAGGATTTGGAGTCGTGAAGTTGAGGGCGTGGGGTCTTGGGCCACAGGTTTTACGGTTTTGGGTTTAGGGTTTGGGGTTCCCACCTGGGTGCATTCAGTACTATCGCACCCCCTCATCCAGACACCTCCACAGTGGGGAATGCGACTTGCTAAAGTCAGTGGTTCGGCCCCGATATTACGGACATGCTGGTAGACGTTGAACATGCTTGTTTGGATTTCAGCGGTCGAGCTAAAAAGTGGTCATCAGAAATAATATAGAACTCCTTGGGTAGTTCCTTGTATGCTTTAACACATGCAAGAAACCTATTCTATGGACAGAAATAAATACGAGTCAGGGGGCCTCACAAAATCGCCGAGTTAATTGTCGTGTATCAGCAGAAACCCTGTATTCAGGTGTTTCAACCCAGGATTTAGCTATTGAGTTTAAAGCTTCTAGGGCTCAAAGGCGTTTTCGCAATGGGTTTCCGGATGTTCGTTGGGGTGTTGGGACCCGAAGCCCTTGATGTCGTAAACCCTAGGACCCTAACAAGGGTTTGTCTTTGACACTTCATCCAGAAGCCGTAGACGGGACCTGCAAACCCAAGCCTCAATCATAGCCATAGAGAATCAGAAGAACAAGGCCAAAAGCAAATTCCGAGTTTAGTCCTCGCAGAAGTGGTGAAAACCAGCATGAATGGGTATGCGGCATGGTGCACCAAACCCGCGAACACTCAGACAGATTCGAAACCAAGCCTGCCGCAAGACGCCCTTGCGATATGTACAAGGTTTAGGGTTCATAGGGTTTAGAGCCGGGACAACATCGACTCGGTAGATTCTGGACTCGGAGCGCCCGGCTGCTACTCACGCTCTTGGGCCTTCTGCCTCCACAAAGACTCCCCCCCGTTCCACCCTAGACCCTAAACCCTTAAACCCTACAAACCCATAATAAGGAAAGCTTGCCCAGCACCCCTTGAAGACCCTATCAGCAAGAGCCGCAGAACAGTTCCCCCTTCCTTTAAAAGCCAAATGAGGTTTAATCTCCTGGATTTCACGGGCGAGCGCTCTGCATTCGGCACGGGGCTTCCAGTGCCTCGGGGGTCTTTGATATATATATATATATATATATATATACATATATATATATACATATATATATATATACTATATATATACGTACATACATACATACATACATACATACAGACATACATACATACTCTTTATATATATATATATATATATATATGATTGAGTGTTTATTGTTGCGGAGGGTACAGGCTGTCATGACTTCAGGAAGCTTTCTTCGGGGGAGAAGTCAGGAAAGAAGGCGAGGGGTACATCTCTTAGCAATGGCAGGGTTTGGACATGTGTTCGGCTTGCTGCTGAGAGTTTTGCCATCAAAAACTCGGTTCCCCAGTAGCATCCTTTGGCCCTTTCTCCTTTTTGGACCCCTTTATTAAAGCCAAATAGATCGAATACTAGGAAAAGGGGTCCGCATCATTTATGAAGTTGCTCATTACTGGGGATCCTAGTACAATGTTGACACAGCCTTAAGCCTTAAACCCTAGACCCCTAAACCCTAAACCCTAAACTGCCTTAAGCCTTACACCCCCAGGTGGCAGACAAGAACCGTGGGAAGTGGGACATGATGAGACCTCTCCTCAGAGATCCGCGCTTGCAGCCGACCCCGGCAGCTAACTTGCAATTGTGATTCAGGGTTTACTTGAAGGCTCATGGGTATAGTGGGAACCTTGCAGATAGAATATGATGTTTAATATTGCTAGGGTTCGGTTTAGGGTTTAGGGTTTAGGGTTTAGGTTGTAAGTCCCACCGAGGCAGCCCCGTACACTCCTTTCCCGAAGGTTGTGTACGGGGCGGGTACATATATTAGACACCCCAATGGCAGAAGCTGCATAGGGACGCTTCACGAGCAGTGCTGCACTTCGAAGGGGTCGCATCTCGTACTCGTTCTGACCTAAGCCTTCGCTGCCAAGACAGCCTGCTTCCAAAGCTCACATGCTACACCCTAAGGGTCCATGAAACACCCAGCCCTCAAACTTTTTGGGTTCTTATAATGTAGTAATAATCTGAACATTTAACCTTTTATTTCCCTGGCTTATTGGGGAAGTAAGACTACTACTTCGGCACATGGACCTTAGGTCAAGGTAAGTAGAAGGAAGGCAGCTGAGGTCCTTGGGTCGTACTTTGGGAACCTCTACACCAT